CTTCTCCTTCTCCTCCTCCTCCTCCTCCTCCTCCTCCTCCTTCTCCTTTTTCTTTCTTCTTTTTCTTCTCCTCTTTTGTCTGCATTTAAGAGGGAATTGGCTGTGTTTATCGACAATTTGGGTGACCTAAAGAATCCAATTAAATTCAACAAACTTGTATTGAGAGGCCACAACTATTTGTCAAGCATTAGCATGAGCGACGCAAAAAAGAATGACACCATTCCTTGGCACTGAACATTTCAGTGGGACTAAAGAAATAAAGTCAATTCCAGAAGATACAGGGCTTCTGTAAATTAGCTAAAACCTCGGATGCCGGTAGAGTTGGTAAGTGCGTGTGAACACTTTTGCCTGCTTTTCAAGTTCTTGCCTGAAAAATCGATAATGCCTTCATTATAATTTCTGGGTTTATTGAACTAGAGCTTCCTTCTCAGCTCATCCAAACAAAAAATAATAATATTTATATTAATTTATATTTATTTTTATATCTTATTTATGTTGATATTTATTATCTTACTATATATTATAAAGCATGTTTTCCTTTGCCTCAGTTTTGTGGTTTAAATACCCAGAGGCCATATTTTCCATAGTGAAACAGACTCCGTAAAAGCTCTAAGGCAGCTTCCTTCAAAGAAACCCTTTCCTCCTAACCCACTCCTATTCTGTGTGCCTTGGATTGTCTGCTGCTGTGATTGTGTATGAGGCCCACACAGGGGGAGCCCCCTGCATATGGGGATCTGCAGGGAAATACAAAGCTCAGTGAAACTGAACACTGTAAAACTGGTCTTTTGGGATCTCAAAGAGCCAGTGGATACCTCTGGAGAAAGTATGACATAACCCAGTGACTCTTGAACTATGAGAGGAAAAAATATAAGTGGGAAATCAAACTACTAGAGATAATAAATACATCTGAAATGAAAAAAAAACCCCACTAGATTAGAGGAAGAGCAGATTAGACACCACAAAAGGAAAGAATCATGAATTCAAAGACACGGAAACTGTCCAAAATGAGACACAGAGAGAAAAAAGAGGGTGAATGAACGGAGCACCAGTGAGTTATAGAACAACATGAAGTAGCCTAACTATGTGTAATTAGAATCCTAGAAGGAGGGGAGAGAGTGAGGGAGTAGAAAAACATTTGGAGAAATAATGACTAAATATTTCAACATTTGATGAAAATTATAAACCCACAGATCCAAGAAGCTCAGTGAAATTCAAAGAAAACACATGAAGAAAATCATACCAGGCACATCATGATCAAATCGCTACAAACCAGTAATAAAGGAAAAGCTTAAAAACAGCTAGAGGAACAAAGATATGTGTTTATTGGGTTCAAAGATAATTACTCTTCATCAAGAAAAAAAAAAGGCAAGCAGAGGACAATGGAGCACTTTTAAAGTACTGAGAGGGGAAAAAAACCCTGTCAGCCCATAAATTTATACCCATCAAAATATTGTCATAAATGAAGGTAAACTGATAGTAGGATGAGATGGACTAGGAACACTTCTCTCTGTATCTCCCACTAATTATAGCTAAAAACCCTTGATATTATATATATAAAACATATAAAAAAACTCTGAAAGTTGGACAGAAGGCAGGCCGGCTAGGGGTCTTGCAACCTGGGGAAAGACACAGTGGTTTAAGTTTTCTATGTTTTTGTTTTGCCTCATATACCCTGATCTGGGTGCTGGAGAAGCTGGTGACCTATTATTCCAATGGGCACAGATACAAAAATAAAAATAAAAATAAAAGCTCCAAGGAAAGCCTCTCTTTCCAGCAATGGACCAAGAAAAGGGCAGCCTAGAATGACAGAAAATCTTTAGGAAAATAACCACTCTGCTTTAGCCAAACACCACAGAAAAAAACTGTGGTCCCACCTCATCCCCAGCAGCAAAGACTGAGATGGGGTGCCCTCTGTCCTTGCAGAGAAGTGTCAGAACAGGCAGTCTGGGCAGCTGTGACTTTCCCTCCCACCCACCTACTAGTAGTATTGAGCCTCCCCATGCACAATGTCAGCGACAACTATATGGAAGTAGTAAGAGAATGCCTCTCCCCTCCTAGACAAGGTGTTGTTAATGGTTATGTTCTAGTGGGGAGCCTGAAATTCTACCCCTGCCCAGCAGGAACAAGAAATTCCCCTCCCCAGAGCTGTCAATAGAAGCTGAGTCACTTGGACTTGGATTCCCACCAAACAATAATAGTACAGTGGTGAACTTCCTTCTCCCACCAGAGTGGTGTCAGGGGAGGCCTGCTAAAACACAAGATTCAAATAAAAATCCAGAGGGTCACAGTACTCAAAATTGTCTCCAAATTTGACCAAAGACATAAATCTTCAGATTCAAGATGCTAAGAAAATGCCAACTAGGATAAACATAAAGATGTGCAGTCTAAGACAGATCATAATCAAACTCCTGAGAACTAAAGATGAAGAATAATCCTGTAAGCAGCAAGAGAAAAAGGACACCATACCAGTAACAGAAAAACTATTCAAATGACGGTGGACTTCTCATCAGAAACAATGGGGGTCAGAAGGAGCTGAAACATATTTCAAGTGCTGAAAGAAAGTAACTGTAAGCCCAGAATCTAAGTTTATTTTTTTTAAAGATTTTATTTATTCGTTTGAGAGAGAGAGAACAAGAGAGAGCATGGAAGGGGGAAGGGTCAGAGGGAGAAGCAGACTCCCTGCTGAGCAGGGAGCTTGATGCGGGACTCGATCCTGGGACTCCAGGATCATGACCAGAGCCGAAGGCAGTCACTTAACCAACTGAGCCACCCAGGCATTCCAAGAATCCGAGTTTAATTGGTGACAACCAGCAAAAATTCTTCCCATCATGTTTCCACCCTTGTACTGCAATTTATTTTATTTTATTTTTTTTTAAAGATTTTATTTATTTATTTGACAGAGAGAGACACAGCGAGAGAGGGAACACAAGCAGGGGGAATGGGAGAGGGAGAAGCAGGCCTCCCGCCAAGCAGGGAGCCCGATGCGGGGCTCGATCCCAGGATCCTGAGATCATGACCTGAGCCGAAGGCAGACGCTTAACGACTGAGCCACCCAGGCGCCCCTGTACTGCAATTTAAAGGTACATTGGAACAAGAAAATACATTGTTTCATATAACATCTGCTAAAATTCTTCCTGAAAATGAACCAAAAACTATTTGATGATAACACTCAATAATTTAAAGCAGAGAAATTGGAAGACAAGCTAAAAGTGAAAGAATGAGAAGCAGCATGGGTTAAAAGAGATGCTCTGGAAAAACAAAATCCCCAGCATGTAGTATATAGTCAAACAAGTGCCTTCTGATTGCATTGGCAACAGATGGTCTTTATTTGAAGATGTGCAGATGCTAAGATAGTGCATGAAGAGGTTTGCCAGGCACAGAAGGGTCAGAAGGGGTTCCTCTAGTGCACCCTGGCAGTCAAAGCTGGCTCACAATATGCATAGCCAAGAAACCTTGGATACTTACTGCAGAGATGCTGAGCTGGTTTTCCAGATGGGCATTAGCTTTTCATGGTGGAATGTGTCAGGGCATGGGGATGCATTTTTTTCTGGATTCTATAGAAAATACATAATTTTTTGTGCCACACAAATCAGTTACACTTGAAAATCAAAGTTTTCTCTATCCCAGTTTCATAGGAATAACAAAATTCTGCATTACCTCAAGATTCGGTGTTCAAACAATGGTGAATTATCAGATTTCATTTTCATAAATATTTCACCACACATGTGATGGTGGCATCACAATCACAGCATATTCTTTTTTTTAAATAATTTATTATTTTTATTTATTTTTAAAGATTTTATTTATTTATTTGAGAGAGAGAGAATGAGAGATAGAGAGCACAAGAGGGAAGAGGGTCAGAGGGAGAAGCAGACTCCCTGCTGAACAGGGAGCCCGATGTGGGACTCGATCCCGGGACTCCAGGATCATGACCTGAGCTGAAGGCAGATGCTTAACCAGCTGAGCCACCCAGGCGCCCCAGCATATTCTTAACGGTATTTCATATAATCAGAGCTATAGAAAAGCAACTTGGTCATCGTCTTCATGTTCCCCCAAAATGAAATTTTTGACAACTTAAAATACATGGTTCTATGGTGTCTATGATATCAGTATTTTTCAAAGGTAACACTTTAAAAAGTACTACATATTTAAGACTTTACAACCCTGGAAATTATTTCCACATGATTGTTACCAGCATTAAAAAAATCATAGAAATTTTTCTTTGCTTTTGTGTTCTGAAGAACTCATTGGAAAAAGTAACGTTGCAATCCTCAGGCACTGTTCTTTTCTAGAGATTTCCTTACTTTTGTTAATAACGTACATGTAAGTATACCATGTCCAACTTCTGTTATGCATATCAAAAGCCTTATTCCCAACTCTTTTGTATAACATCAGGATTTCAGGAGTAAGAGAGTAGGAGAAATTTATTTTAAAAAGATCTTTCGGTACTTTAACTGAAATTGTAATTAAAAATTGTTTTTATATTTTTATTTGCAGAATTTTTTTCT